TTAAACGGATAATACCAAAAGCCCAAGGCTTGACTATATTCCAAGAGTCACAATTAATTTCGCCAGTTTGAAAATTTTTAACAATTCGCCAAAACTGTCTTTTCGACACCCTATACTGACCTATCGTTTCACTTCTTGCTCAACGCCTAACCTTCCCCACTACAGGATTCTGCCATGTGTACGACTACGATTCACTGCCCCCTTCCCCTACCCTGTCTTTTCCACTTCAAATCACCACGTGTCCCGTCGTCCTTCGAGCCCCGTCCACCGCCACTCTCTCTTCGCGGTCGGCCCTCCTCATGGTCGGTTCCTTCGCTCGGCCACCCTTCGCGGTCGGCTCCCCTCATGGCCGGTCCCTCCGCTCGGCTACCCTTCGCGGTCGACCCCTCTCATGGTCGGTCCCTCCGCTGGGCCACCCTTCGCGGTTGGCCCCCCTCATGGTCGGTCCCTCCGCTCGACCACCCTTCGCGATCGGCCTTACTCACGGTCGGTCCCTCCACCTAACCACCCTTCGCGATCGGCCCTCCTTATGATCGGTTACCCCTCTCGGTCAGGCTTCACCCTGCCAGTCTCTCACAACCCTCATTTTCTTCATTATTCCTTTCGTTGGGCTAAAGCTGCACTTGGGAATGGGGGACTACTAACATGGATAAGCCCATTAAGATTATAGCCCACCATTTAGGGCCCAATACATAACTCAAATACTAAAGCCCAACATTGTTGAAACCCCGCGTAGCAATAAGAACCAATGACATCAAGACACATGGCAAGAGAAGGGTAAGCCACATAAGCAGACAAAGATCTGCAAAGTTATTGTCACTGCACATCGCCATTAATGAAACCCCTTATAGCATTTATTGCGATAACCCCTTTCTGTCGGGACAAAATGCCTTCACCATGAACAAGGTAAGCTAAAGCATAGACTTTCGGCCAAGGTGACAGGTCGGAAGGGACAACGAAATGATTACCAGAGGGTATAAGTAGACGTCGAAGACAAGAAGAAGGTTAAACTTTCTGTCTCTAATTCATCTCTACATTCCACTTCTCTCTCTAACTTGCTCGTTGGAGGGTTTGCTGGGGGACTCCCTGTTCCCCGTTGAACTCTTGTGCTGGTCTTCTAGTGGGCTTGGTCATTTGGACACAGGTTTGAGGAGTGTGGATCAGTCCGACCCGTTCCACCTGGAACAAACAATATCATCAACATCCAACCCCATAATCATTTCACTTTTTCTCTCACAAACATCATATCTAACCACAAAAAAACCCAACTATCTTCCCAAATACCAAATTTTTTTTATCCAATAATATTCTACAACTAAAAAAACCTACATAAAAACCCACTTCCCAAACACCCAATTAGATTAGTATATTTTTTAATTTTTTATAAAAAATATGAAATATAAATTGAATTTGAAATAATGTGGTAGAAAAATAATATAATTTAAATAAAATAATATACTAAAATAACATATATTATTTTAGTACATGTCAAACAACAACTAAAGTCTCGTTCGGGAACAAACTATTTTAGTAACTTTTTTATTTTTTAACTAAAATATGAAATAAAAAAACTAATATTTTTAGAGTGATTTTTTAACTTTTTACGAAAGAATATGTAAAAAATAAAAAAAGAATTTTTTTTAAAAACTTTTTAATATAAAATATATATTTTTTATTTTTTTGATTAAAATATTAACTGGCCAAATCAGCTCTAAGGTCAAGTTTGAAAAAATTAAATAAGTGTACTTTTTGACTTTTTTTATATTATGTATAAAAAAAATAGAGAAAAAATATTAATTAATGTGACCTAAAAAAGATAAAAAGATAAAATAAGTACATTTTTTTAAGTTAGCCAAACTTGACTAAAGTTACTTGGAGACTTTTCATGAGCTTTCAAAGGTCTTGCATGTGCTATTATTGGTTGGTGGGGACAGACATGGACAGATTCTTTCAAAAGTCATAAGAATTAAAGGCAGATTTTAATAAAGATGCGGACAGATTTGGACAGGTTGTTTTAAAAGGCGAAGAATTAAAGGCAGATTTTAATAAAAATGTAAAAATATGAGGTGAGAAACATATCATATACATCTTACATGAGAAGTTCAGCACCCGCATGAATTCTAAATAAAATGTTTAAAAATTTAAGTACAAAACTGAAATTTTAATAAAAATATAAAAATAATAGTAAGGTGAGAAAAATATCATGTTACATGATAAGTTCAGCAGCCTTATTAACTTTAAATAAACGAAAAATTAATATTACAACTTAAATTAAGGTATAAAGAAATTATAGAAATTCTACTATATACACTATTTATCAAATACACCCCTAAATTAAGCATTTTTTTCTTTAGCTATGATTGTAGGATAAATGACACTTTCTTCCTTTATGTTTGGTTATTTTCTCACTTTGGTCTTTAAAGTTTTTTTTTTTTTTCATGTCTTAAGTTTTTCTCAGTTTATTATCAAAGCTAACTTCTGTTAAAAATTATATACAAAATGATACATTAACAATTACGTGGTATAAAAATATTTTGTTATATATAATTCACACATTTGATACAAGCTCAAACTCTCATAAAATAATATATATTTTTTTATGCTATAGTTATTGTGATATTTTTTATTTAATTTTGAACATAAATTAGTTTTAGGAATAAATTGGGAAAAGCTTGAAACATGAAGGGCCAAAGTAGGAAAAAACAAACTTTAAAGGTCAAAGTGAGAAAGTGGCTAAACATAAAGGGGGCAAAATATAATTTACCCAAGATTTTATTTTAGTTATGACTCATGAGATTTTTGATTGTGTCTCATGTGTTGTTTGGTTATAATTTTTTTAATATTTTATATTTTATTTATGATTCAAAAAATATGAAAATATATATATATATATATATATATATTTTTAGTTATAAAGTGCATACGATACATATTTTTTAAAGAGTCTGCACCATAATCTTTCACAAAGTATTTAATTGTCACAATTAATAATGGAGGGGTCACAATAAAATTTATGTGAAAATACAAAGTGCAAATAAACCTAATCTACGAGTTATTATTCTTTAGTTGAGCTTTTAAATTCAATGGAACGTTCCGGTTACCATAATTTCAACGATGGCTTTCACGAGTGATTTTATTTACTACTTTAATCCTCCGCATTAATCACATGTAGTCCAAATAATTTGCCCTCATACCCTCCCATATAAATGGCCCTGAAGGCTGAAGCATCCAACTAATTGGTGGCCCAGAAGAAAGCAAAATACGAAAACAAACCGAGCAAGAAAGCGGGATTTGCTTACCAGGGAGCTGGAGATGAAAACGGTAGCAATAAAACGCACGAGCTTGGTAGCTGAAGAAGTAGAAGCACAGAAAGAGAAAAAGATGAATAGTGTAGATGAATGATTCAAGGACAGAGGATTTGTTGTGTGCAAAGAGAGAGGAAGGACAGGAACTGTTCAATTTTTTTCAGAGTACGAGGGCGGTGTGACAGCTGCCCCTAGCCAATCGGAGCCTGCCACGTGTCATTGGAAAAGGGAGCGATTCAGTTTCTGTGATTGAAGCGACGTTCTGACCGGATAAGGATAGTTCGGCTTAGTGCTAGCTCGGCCCTACAGGCTAAAGAGTATTAGCTCGGCTGGAAAGGCTAAAACTTTAGCCCGGTTTATAGACAGGTAATCCCAATCATGTTGTGCAGATGGAATTAAGGGACAATTGAAAGGGTAATTTTGGTGAAAATTGGGCCGAGCTATGAGATGGACATTATGGCCTCAGTATAAAGGGCCGAAGTAAAATGGCCATGGAAGATACTCCGGTTGCGCGATATTTTTGGAGTTAGTTCGGTCCTAAGACTGCGGAGCTAGTCCGGTCCGACGTAAGTACGAAGTTAGATCGGTCTTACGGTACCTTTGAGTTAAACCGGTCTTGGAGTTATACCGGTCACGATTCGTTAGTTCGGTCCAACCATGCCATGTGCTGTGCATGAGAAGCCGATATAAGAAAAGTAAAAGGAAGAACTAGTTCGGCTCATTCTACGGCTATGCATAGTCGTGTTTACTTCGGTCGAATTGGAGTTCGGCCATGATAGAATCATCTCACTTGATTTAAGCAGTGAGGGGGGTGTTAAAGGATAAGCATTATCTTTCAGGAGTATGAATCCTAGGAGGACTCTGCATGAAGGAATAGAAGTCCTACTAGGATTGTGCCACACGAAACCTATAAAAGCTCACAAACATCACCTATGGAGAAATTTTCTTGCAATTTTCGTCTGCAATATTTAATTTTGTTGCATTTTTTAGTTTTTTGTTTTTTGTTTTTTGTTCTGTTTTGTTTTTTGTTTTTTTGTAAAATTATGAAAATATTCTTCCACATTTTTTTTAAATATTTATTTTGAATGGTGTTGATGTTAAAGACTAAAGTAAAACAAATTGTAAACTTTAGAACCAAAGAGGAATAATAAAAAAATGGGGACTAGACACATCACATACTTTGGAAACTAGTTATGTAATTCACCCTATTTTTCAATGTGGTGATTGTAAAAATTAAGTGTGCCAATTTTTAATTGTGCACAAATTATTGTAAGATATAATTTGAAACGCATAGATGAGGCTAAAAATGAAAATCAAAAGTTACCTTATAAGCATGTCCAAAACCACCTTCCCCAATCTTATTTGCAACCGAGAAGTAACTTGTAGCAATTTGTATACTAGAAAGAGTGAACAAAGGTAACTCATAATCCTCTCTTCCATTGTTGGATTTGTCAATAATTGCTGCATCTGTTTTCAATTGACACATTACAGATTGTGTACTTTGGGTCCCCTCATCTTCACTTATTGCATTATTTCCTGGTTCGGACAAAAGCAAAACTATATGAGTAATGCTAGAAAACCCAAATATTCTATCAAAAATTTTACCAAATGTCTCACATGGGTGTGAGACCCACATGAGACCCACATTGTGTGGGTCCCACAGCCATGTGAGACATTTGGTAAAATTTTTGATAGAATATTTGGGGTCTCTAATATTACTCATATAGTTTTGCTTTTGTCCGAACCAGGAAATAATGCAATAAGTGAAGATGAGGGGACCCAAAGTACACAATCTGTAATGTGTCAATTGAAAACAGATGCAGCAATTATTGACAAATCCAACAATGGAAGAGAGGATTATGAGTTACCTTTGTTCACTCTTTCTAGTATACAAATTGCTACAAGTTACTTCTCGGTTGCAAATAAGATTGGGGAAGGTGGTTTTGGACATGTTTATAAGGTAACTTTTGATTTTCATTTTTAGCCTCATCTATGCGTTTCAAATTATATCTTACAATAATTTGTGCACAATTAAATTTGGCCCACATAATTTTTACACTCACCGCATTAAAAAAAAAGGGAAATAGTTTCCAAATTATGTGCTGTGTTTAGTCCCTATTTTTTTGACAATTTGTTTTATTTTAGTCTTTAACATCAACACCATTCAAAATAAATATTAAAAAAAAATGTGGAAGAATATTTTCATAATTTTACAAAAAAAAAAAAAAAAAAAAAAAAAAAAAAACAAAAACAAAACAGAACAAAAAACAAAAAACAAAAAACCAAAAAATGCAACAAAATTAAATATTACAGATGAAAATTGCAAGAAAATATATACTTTAGGGACTGCAATATTTGAGGAATCAAAATGCCACAAATTGCGTACTTTTAGATCATATATCTATTTGGTCATTTTGATTTTATTTAGACTTGATGTAAAATTTGAAAATATCCATCATCCTTTAACTGATCTTGAACAACACTTCCATCAAGGACTAAAGTGTAACCAACTAAAAACTTTGGGGATCAAAGTGGCACAATTACAAGTTTTGGGACTAAAGTGTAATGAAATGTATACATTGGGGACTATTAGTGTAATTAATCTTCAAAAATAATTGAAGTTTATGGTAGACTATTGTTAAATACTATTTTGCTGAAGGATGCATCCAATAGTGTTTGAATTTTTTTTATTGACTATAGAGGAATACTTCAATTTTTATTTTGATGTGTTATGATTACACATTCTATACATAATATATAAATTTCAGGGCCAGTTCGTTAATGGGCAGGAGATTGCTGTGAAAAGACTTTCTAGAAGTTCTCAACAAGGGTCAGAGGAGTTCAGGAACGAAGTTATATTAATTTCAAGGCTTCAACATCGTAACCTTGTTAGAATTTTGGGTTGTTGTACTCAAGGAGATGAGAGGATATTAATATATGAGTACTTGCCAAACAAAAGCCTAGATTCATTTCTTTTTGGTATGTTACTTCACTAACTTCAACCAATCTATATTTTGTTCTTGTGATTCTCTCTTTGTTCCTAGTGCCATCAGGTGTACTAATGTGTTTAATGCAAAATTTGCAACAGATGAAACCAAACGAGCTTTACTTGACTGGAAAATACGCGTCCACATCATTGAAGGAATTGCTCAAGGACTTCAATACCTCCACAAGTACTCTAGAGTAAGAATCATTCACAGAGATTTGAAAGCTAGCAACGTTTTATTGGATAATGACATGAATCCAAAAATATCTGACTTTGGTACCGCAAGAATATTTGGAGACAATGAATCTCGGGCAAGCACAAAAAGAATTGTTGGAACATAGTAAGTTAGATAACTCTTTTGAACATACAACTATAAAAAATTGTGTATGCATGCCAAACACATTACTTCTCTTCAACAATATAATTT